TGGGGGGCCGCGGGGGCCGGGGCGATGCGGCGGTGAGGGGCGCAGGCTCGTGCCGGGCTGGGCTGGGCTCGGCTCTCACCCTGAGCTCTCTTCCCGGCAGGTTCTATCTCCACCCGCAGATGGCGGAGGACCTGATCGGAACTCACTCCCCGGCTGCGCACAGCGTGGTCTCGGTATCTATAGGTGAGCGAGTCCCCGCAGCATCCCGCACCTGTCCTGGCCCGGCTCTGGGCTAGGCTAGGGCAGCCCCGCTAACCCTCTGTGGCGGGTTTGGGCGGCTCTTCTTTCGTCTGCCAGCTGCGGGTGCCAGCCCGGAGCAGGGGGCACCGGCTGGGGCAATGCCCTGGCACAGGGAGACTTTCCGGGCTTGCCTGGTGCGGCATGGGGCGTGCTGCGACCACTGTGGAGGGCGCCTGGGCTGGAGCAAGGCAAGCCCCGCCGGCCGGATGGGAATCTGAGGACCATTTCTGGCCGAGTGGCCCCACAGCAAAACAGGTGTTCGTGTGCCAACCTGAAAGCTCATTCCAAGAGAGTCCCCACCTTGCGCTGGTCGTGTCCAGGCTGCTGCAGGAGCTGGGGGTCTTGGGGAAGGCCAGCCCTGGCTGCAAGTTTGTGTACAGGCTTTAATTGTCTGGATAGATCTTTGTTCCTTGGAGGGCAAAGTCCCTTGGACTGGCCCAGAGCAATTCTCGCTGGGGTGTGCAGGCGGGAGCTGCGAACAGAGCATGTCTCTCTACATTCCTTTGTCTTCCACCTAAGAAGTTGTGATTGTTTGGCCTGAAAGTTCCTCTTTTGTCCTCCGGTCCAGTGTTCTCTGACTTGTAACTGATCTGGTTTTCTTTTCACTGGTGAGATCCCAACAGCCCCTGAATCTCTGGGGACAAAAAAGTAAATGCAGCCTTGCCTGGTACTGGGCCACCCTGGTCTGGTGATGTCTCTTTCTTGCTCCAGGCATATGATCACCCTAAGCCAACAATTGCCCCATTCTCAGCAGGGACAGTGAGTTCCTTCTGCCGATCCATCCCCACTGTTCCCTCCCCCATGAGGTGAGGTAGTGGCAGCACTGCTCTGTATTCCCTGCTTTGCCTGCAGAACCTGTGGAAGGCAAGCTAACAGGCTGGGCAGCTCCCATCTGCTAACCACGAGACCCAGAACACTGTCCGAATAGCTACTACCAAAGCATTGCACCTTAAAGAACTAGAGACGAAAGTTACTGACTCCAGACTGGTAGAGACCCTAGGCACAAAGCCTCAACCCTGATTGCTGCCCTTCTTTATATGAGGGTAGTGGCCAGGTGTGGGGAGTTGTCCAGCGGTTCCATCAGCTAGGGGCTTTCATTGAGGAGAGGGGTGCCTGTAGTAAATGTGGGGAGAGAGTGGGAGGGCAGCTTTGATGCCCTGCTCGGTTGTAAGGTCACACCAGGGCTGCTGCTGTCTGTGTTTTTTAGACTGTGGGGCGCTGGGACAGCTTTGAACTGATAATGCATGGTGTGTGTGTGTGTGTGTGTGTGTGTGTGTGTGTGTGTGTGTGTGTG